ATTAACAGACTGCAGAAGAAAAACCATATGATTATCTCAATAGATGCAGAGAAAGCATTTGATAAAATAGAAGGAACATTCCTCAATAAAATCAAAGCAATTGATGAAAAACCCACGGCCAGCATCATATTGACTGGGGAAAAGTTGGAAGCATTTCCACTGAGATCTGGTACCATACAGGGATGCCCATTTTCACCACTGTTGTTCAATATAGTTCTGGAAGTCTTAGGCAAGAAAGAGAAAGTGATACAAATTGGGAAGGAAGAAGTCAAACTATCCCTCTTTGCAGAAGATATGATTCTTTATTTAGGGGATCCAAAGAATTCTAAGAGACTATTGGAACTCATAGAAGAGTTTGGCAAATAGCAGGACATAAAATCAATGCACAAATATCAACAGCCTTTGTATACACAGGCAATGCCATGGCTGAGAAAGAACTGCTAAGAACAATCCCATTCACAATAGCTACAAAAACAATCAAATACCTTGGAATAAACTTAACCAAGGACGTTCAAGATCTCTACGGTGAAAATTACAAAACCTTAAAGAAAGAAATAGAAGAGGATACCAAGAACTGGAAAAATATTCCATGCTCATTGATTGGATGAATCAATATCATCAAAATATCCATGCTCACAAAAGCAATTTATAGAATCAATGCAATACCAATCAAAATACCAAAGACATTCTTCTCAGATCTAGAAAAAATGATGCTGAAATCCATATGGAAGCAAAGAGGACTGAATAGCTAAAGCAATCCTGTACAACAAAAACAAAGCTGGAGGCATCACAAGATCAGATTTCAGGACATACTATAGGACAGTTATAATCCAAACAGCATGGTACTGGTACAGAAACAGATGGGTAGGCCAATGGAACAGAATTGAAACACCAGAAATCAATCCAAACACCTACAGCCAACTTATATTTGATCAAGTATCTAAAACCAATTCCTGGAGGAAGGACAGTCTATTCAACAAATGGTGCTGGGAAAACTGGATTTCCACATGCAGAAGCATGAAGCAAGACCATTACCTTACACCTTACACAAAAATCCACTCAACATGGAACAAAGATCTAAATGGACGACATGACACCATCAAATATTGGAGAACATTGGAAAACCCTGCAAGATATAGGCACATTCAGAGACTTCTTGGTAAAGACCCTAGAGGCACAGGCAATCAAAGCCAAAATTAACAATTGGGATTGCATCAAATTGAGAAGTTTCTGTACTGCAAAAGAAACAGCCAGGAAAATGAAGAGGCAATCAATAGAATGGGAAAAAATATTTGCAAACTATGCAACCGATAGAGGATTAATAACAAGAATCTACAAAGAGATCAAGAAACTCCACAACAACTAAACAAACAACCCACTTAAGAGATGGGCCAAGGACCTCAATAGACATTTTTCAAAAGAGGAAATCAAAATGGCCAACAGACACATGAAAAAATGTTCAGGATCACTGGTAATCAGGGAAATGCAAATACAAATCTCAATGAGGTTTCACCTCACCCCGGTGAGAATGGCTCACATACAGATATCTACCAACAACCAATGCTGGCGAGGATGTGTGTGAAAAGGGACACTAACCCACTGTTTGTGGGAATGCAATCTGGTAAAGCCACTATGGAAGTCAGTCTGGAGATTCCTCAGAAGCTGAATAAACCCTACCAAACAACCCAGCCATCCCACTCCTTGGATTTTACCCAAAGGAAATTAAATTGGCAAATAAAAGATCTGTCTCCACCTGAATGTTCACTGCAGCTCAATTCACAATAGCTAAGACCTGGAATCAACCTAAATGCCCATCAACAGTAGACTGGAAAAAGAAATTATGGGTTATGTACTCTATAGAACACTATACAGCAGTAAAAAAAAAATGAAATCCGTTCATTTGCAACAAAATGGCGGAATCTGGAAAACATCATGTTCAGTGAATTATGCTAGAGCCAAAGGGAAAAATATCATATGTTCTCCGTATTCAGTGACAACTACCTGAGCACCAAAAAGGAAAACTTTTCAAGTGAAATGGACACTATGAGAAACAATGCCTTAATCAGCCCTTGTGCTGTCACCCCTTTTAGTATTTTTTTTTTGTTCTACTTAATACTATTGGTTGTACTCTGTAATTAACACACAATTATGCTTAGGTTTTAAATTTAACTGAAAAGTGATTCCTGTTAATTATAAGAGTTGGAATAAGAGAGGGAGGAGATGTACAGTTCGGCACATGCTCATTCGGACTTGCCCCAAATGGCAGAGTTAGAAACGTGCCAGGGGATTCCAATACAATCCCATCAAGGTTGCATGTACAAATGCCATTTCAGTAGTCAAATGATCAGTTTCAGTTTATAGTTTGTCATAATGATAGTATTAAGTGTCAAAGAGATCACATAAACAAGACTAGTGTCTGTTAACACTAACTGATAGAATTAAAAAGAAGAGAATGATCTAACATTGGAAGCGGGATACACAGCAGACTCATAGAATGGCAGATGTCGTAAACAGCACTCCGGCCTCAGAATCAGCCCTTAAGCCATTTGGATCTGGCTGAAGAGCCCATGAGAGCATTTCAGGCATGGAAAGCCAAGACACTGTGGCAAAAAAAAAACAAAAAAAAACAAAAACAAACAAACACAACAAACACCTAAATGAAAGATCTCTGTGAGTGAGATCCCAGTGGAAAGAACGGGCCATCAAAGAAGGAAGTACCTTTCTCTGAAGGGAGGAGAGAACTTCCACTTTGACTATGACCTTGTCTAAGTAAGTTTGGAGTTGGCACACTCAAAAGGCTTCCATAGCCTTGGTAACTCATGAGAAGAACTTCAGGAGATTACTGACATCATAAACAAGTGTGTCAATTGTTAAATCAACATAGAAGTCACTGTGTAGTTACTCCTCATGTAGGATCTCTGTCCTTAATGTGCTGTACATTGTGAATTAATGCTATAACTAGTACTCAAACAGTACTTTACACTTTGTGTTTCTGTGTGGGTGCAAACTGTTGAAATATTTACTTAGTATATACTAAATTGATCTTCTGTATATGAAGATAATTGAAAATGAATCTTGATGTGAAAGGGATGGGAGAGGGAGTAGGAGATAGGAGGTTTTTGGGTGGGAGGGAGGTTACGGGGGGCAAAACCAGTGTAATCCATAAGCTGTACTTTGGAAATTTTTATTTATTAAATAAAAGTTTAAAAAGTTGGGAAAAAAAGAAAAGACAAGAAAAAAATAAATTATCAACTGAATAATCTCAGTCTGTTGGCAATTTTGCATTTTTTAGTTGTTTTGGCTTCATAACATAAACATCTACTGAGCTCTCCAGCCTAAACTTCCTTCAAGAAGGGATGTATTTCTCCTAGGCATAAAAAAATGAAACCAGCATCAACTAGATTACATGCTTTCCTTCTAGTAAACTGTGTTTAAACTGTAAAACCACTAGAAGTTTATCCAGCAACATATGCATATGTATAAATTGAGATACTAAAGCTTAACTATATGACATAATATGTTGAAGATAATCTATCAAGTGGCAGATTCAGAATTCAAACCTATGTGCATCTGTCATTAAAACTTAATGTTTGGGGCTGGCATTGTGGCACAGCTGGTTTATCCTCCACCTGTGATGCAAACATCCTATTTGTTCAAGATGCTCCTGAGCAATTTTTGATCCAGCTCCCTGCTAATGCTCCTGGGAAAGCAGCAGAAGATGGCCCAAATCCTTGGGCCCCGACATCCACATGGGTGACCTGCAAGAAGCTTCAGTTTCCTGGCTTTGACCTGGTTCCACCCCAGCCATTGCAGCCATTTAGAGAGTGAACCAGATGATGGAAGTGTTCTCTCTCTCTCTCTCTCTCTCTCCTTCCTTTCTCTGCAACTCTGCTTTTCAAATAAAGTTGAATTTTTTAAAAAAAGAAGACAAAAAAGTTAAATTGAGGCATTCTATGGCAGAATCACTAGAAATGCTGATAGTATTTTTAAAATCTTAAAGTTTATATAATAGTTATACTATTCATATTATAGCTATGTATTTTATATTTCCTCATGAATAAATAGGAGGTTTTTTTAGGTGAATTCATACCCTCTGGTTTTTCACTGATTTCAGATACAAAAATTATACTGATAACAAACAATAATAAAACTAATTATATTTAGCCATTTCTATGAGCTATTATTGCTATAATTGCTATTATTACCTCCTATTTACATAGTGTTGAAATATGACAATCTGGTTAATGTCAACCAATAAGAAGTGAGAGTTGATTCTAAGCTGCCTAATAGAAGGCAGCTCTTAAAAACTGAGCTCCAAAGAGATGAACTTGTATAAGACAATAGGATTCCCACTCTATTCTCTGAGAAAAATTATGACATTCCATGCCATGAAGTACTTAACCTCAATATATTGCCATGATCTCATCTCTCCCCACTACATTCCTGAAATACTTGGAGTTTTCTTGCCCTTAACACTGAAATTTTGAAAGACATTTCGATTATACTCTTACTATCTGGAGATTCATTAAATATATTCACTTTATGTACCAAGTATGCTACCAGATGCTACCAGAAGTGAAATAAAATTTGATACATACATTTATATGTTTATTAAATCAGTGATTATAATGCCATATCTTTTTTTTTTTTGACAGGCAGAGTGGACAGAGAGAGAGAGAGAGAGAGACTGAGAGAAAGGTCTTCCTTTTTCTGTTGGTTCACCCCGCAATGGCCACTGCGGCCGGCGCACCACGCTGATCCGAAGCCAGGATCCAGGTGCTTCTCCTGGTCTCCCATGCGGGTGCAGATCCCAAGCACTTGGGCCATCCTCCACTGCCTTCCCGGGCCACAGCAGAGAGCTGGACTGGAAGAGGAGCAACCGGGACAGAATCTGGCGCCCTGACCAGGACTAGAACCCGGTGTGCCGGCGCCGCAGGCAGAGGATTAGCCTATTGCGCCTTATAATGCCATATCTTTAAAGTAGATTTTAAAGCATTTACCTTCTCTGTACCACAGGCAGAGCCGTTTTGGATATCCATTGGATCTGCATCTGACTCATTCAATCTGTAGTCTAAAGTCACACATAATTTATTTCTTACAAGAGCATAAATTATACCAGGGCCTTTTCTGTTGTAAGGAGTTGTACTTGGATAGGTACAAATTAATCGCCCACATACGAGATCTCTGCAAACAACAACAAAAAATACAGGTAAATATATTATGCATTAAGCACTATTAGAAATGATTTGGACTTTCTTTCATTGCTTAAGATAGAAAATACCCTCCACTTGTGTCAGTACGCTATGGGATAAATGGAATGTTTTAACACTAGCATTTAAAGTAAAAGGCAAATATATATGAATGCATTTAAGCATCCTACTTTCAGTTATACTAATAGGGCTTTTATTTTTATTTTTTATAGGTTTACATTTTAGTTCTAAATTCAACAGTTTTAACATTTTGTCATATTTACTCCATATTATATGCATACACATATGTACTATTTATTGAAAGCAGAGACAATATCAGAAGTGACAAATTCATGATAATGTTCAAAACATGGGGAAAAGAAGGGTATATTGCCATATACACAGTAAGACTCACTGAAGAAATATTTATAAACATAAACCAAAGGATATTACACCCACACCAATTTTATGCTCTCCACATATTAACACATTTGTACAGGAAAGTTGCCACTGATTTGGGCAGGCATTGAGCGAGTGAGCAGAGAGGAGCCTGGAGACTGCCAGGAGAATCTGTGCCACATCTCCACACCAGAAAAAACCTACACCTTTCTGTGCCCATCCAACCTTGCTGCAGGCTCTGCAAATGCATTCTCCATCATGCACCTGAGCCTCACTAAACCATCATGTAAGAGATACAAGATGACCACATGTATGCTGTAGCCCACTTAGAGACACCATGACACCTTCAAGATTCCCAATAAAGGGAGACAGAGCGGTGAGCAAAATGACGCCCAATACAAACTCAGCCTCATTTGAATATTCAATTAGACCACTGCCCTCCTAGCCTATAAAAGGATGACCTCAACTTTGGAGGGAGCAGCAGTTCTTGCTCTTGAATAGAAGCTGTCCACATGTATAACTGACTGTGTACTATCTTTTTCTTTTCTTTTCTTCTTCTTCTTTTTTTTTTTGGACAGGCAGAGTGGACAGTAGAGAGACAGAGAGAGAAAGGTCTTCCTTTGCCGCTGGTTCACCCTCCAATGGCTGGCGCGCTGCGGCCGGTGCACCGTGCTGATCCGAAGCCAGGAGCCAGGTGCTTCTCCTGGTCTCCCATGGGGTGCAGGGCCCAAGCACTTGGGCCATCCTCCACTGCACTCCCTGGCCACAGCAGAGAGCTGGCCTGGAAGAGGGGCAACCGGGACAGAATCCGGCGCACTGACCAGGACTAGAACCCGGTGTGCTGGCGCCGCAAGGCAGAGGATTAGCCTAGTGAGCTGCGGCGCCGGCTGTGTGTACTATCTTTTTAAATTAATTCTGCTTCCTTTCACACATTTATCATTCAATTTTCATTCTTTACACTTGAAGGAAGAGCCTGGAATAAGACCAGCTTGAGGCCCCAACACAATTAGTATTTTAGGGATTGTCAACAGTGAGTATTATCAACTTCCACTTTTCATTGGTGATAAAAGCCTAGTGATTATGCACTAATTAATAATTTAAAATGAAATGACATTGTATAGATGTCAGGGCTGAGGCCAGAACTGTGGCATAGTAGGATGAGCCTCCATCTGCCATGCTGGCATCCCATAAGAGCATCCGTTCTAGTCTCAGTTGCTCTTCTTCGGATGCAGCTCTCTGCTTATGGCCTGCTAAAGCAGTGGAAGATGGTTCAACGGCTTGGGTCCCTATCCACATGGGAGGCCCAGGGGAAGCACCTGGTTTCTGACTTTGGATTGGCTTGTGTCCAGCCATTGCAGCCATTTGAGATGTGAGCTAGCAGGTGGAGGACCATTCTTTCTGCCTCTCCCTTTCTCTGTTACTCTGTCTCTCAAATAAATAAAATCTTTGAAAGAAATATGTCAGGTCCAGAAATTTTGATTTGAGATTCACTTTTCATTCAAAGGTGATTCTTCAAAACCAACAGAATGAATGGCATGCTTAACAGAGGGAAAGAAACGTGAAAAAAGAAAAAAAAATACAGGAAATAAGAAAAGTATTAGAACAGACAAGCTGAATGAATTAAAACACAAAGCCCCAGCATATACTGCCTAAAAGAAACACAACTTACCAACTAAGATACACACAGACTGAAAGTGAAAGGATGGGAAAAGATATTCCATTCAAATTGAAATGTCAAATGAGAAGGACTAGACAGTCTATTTTAAGACAAAATAGAATTTAAGACAAAAACTATTCAAAGAGACAAAGAATGGCTTTATGTAATGATTAAGAGATCAAGTGAACAGGAAGATATGATGATAGTAAATGTATGTGCACCCAGTGCTAAGGCATCTGGCAATTTCAAACAAATCTTAGTGGATCTAAACAGAGATATATGCTCCAAATCAATGATAACAGAGATTTCAACACCCACTTTCATCAATGGACAGATCAATTAAACAAAAATTAACAAAGAAACAACAGAGCTAATCTACATTATTGAACAAAAGTATCCAATTGAAATCTTCAAAGCATTTCATCCTACATTTGCAGAATATACATTCCTTACATCAGTGCAAGGAAATTTATCTAGAATAGAGACATAGAGAGAGATCTTCCATCTGCTAGTTCATTGCCCAAATGCCCACAATGGCTAGAGCTGGGCTGATCCAAAGCCAGGAGCCAGGAGCTTCTTCCAGGTCCTCTGCCTGGATGCAGGGGCTCAAGTACTTGTGCAATCCTCCACTTCTTTCCCAGGTGCATTAGCAAGGACCCGGATCAGAAGTGGAGCAGTTCCCATATGTGTTGTCGATGCTATAGGTGGTAGCTTTACCCACTACGACATAAAATTGTTCCCCTTGTTAAACTTCTTATTCAGTGCAATTTTAAGCCTTTTTACTATAATGTGAATTTAAAAGGTTACCTCAAAAATTGAGAGAGAGAAAAGAAAGTTAGAAAAAAGAAGGATGTGAAGAGGAAGGGAGAGGGGAAGGTAATATCATTATATTCTTAGACTAGTTCTACAAATTATATTGAATCAGTTAAATATTAATCAAAATAACAATTAAAATGAAATTAAAAGGTATTATTGGAACTAAAAAAAGTTTGGCAAAGTTACAGAATACAAAATTAACAAAGAAAAATCAACAGCATTTTATACACAATGCCATGTCAGAGAAAGAACTTCTAGAACAATATAATTCACAGTAGCTACAAAAAATTCAAATATCTTGGAATAAATTTAACCAAGGATGTGAAAGATTACTACAATGAAAATTACAAAATACTAATGAGAGAAACATCCATACTCTCCAAGCAATGAACAGAGTCAATGAAATTCCGCTAAAAAATGCCAAGAAAATTCTTCAAATCTTGAAGAAAAAAACTCACAAGGAAATACAGGCTAAAGCAATCTTAAACAATAAAAGTGAGGCTAGAGGAATTGCAATAACATATTTCAAAACATAGGGCAGTTATAATTATAACAGCTAGGTGTGGAATATGTTAGAAACCCTAGAAATTAATCCACACATCTTCAACCAGCTAATCTTTGGTAAATTAGTTTAAATCTCTTCCTGGAGAAAAGACAGTCTCTTCAACAAATGGTGTTGGGAATACTGCATGGATCTCTGCATGCAGTATTAAAAAAAGAAAACCCTTCCTGACTTGTTATACAAAAATCTACTCACAGTGGATCCATGATCTAAATCTAAGCCCTGAAACCATCAAATTACTAGATGAAAACACAGGGGAAACATTACAAGACATTGGCATAGACAGAAGTTTCTTGGGTAAGACCCCAGAAGCAAGGCAATAAAGGCAAAATAACAAAGACTACCTTAAACTAAGTTTTTACACAGCAAAGGACACACTCAACAAACTGAACAACACATCTGACAAATACTACCCAAAATACATAAGGCGTTCAAGAAACTCAATAACAACAACAACAACAACAAAACAATCCCATTAAGAAATTGACAGAGGACATAACCTGGAATTTTTCAAATGACAAAATACAAACAGCCAACAGCACACACAAAAAATGCTTAGTGTCATTAGCCATCAGGGCAATGCAAATAAAAATCACAATAAAATCTCCCCTTATTTGTGAGTAGGTGGATAAAAAAAATCCTAATATATTTTTGGTGGGAATGCAAACTATTACAACCCTGGTGGAAAACAGTATGGAGATTCCTCAGAAATACGAAATAGAACTACCATATGAACAGCATCCCACTCTTGGGAATATACCCAAATGACATGAAATCATCATGTGAAAGAGAAATCACTAGTTCTAGGTTTCTAGCAGCTCAGTTCACAATAGCTAAGACATGGTATCAACCCAGATGTCCATCAACTGAAGGCTAGATAAAGCAAATGTAGAATATAATTAAGACAGAATACTACTCAGCCGTAAAAAAGAATGAAATCTTTTCTCCAACACAGTGGATGTCAATGGAAACTATGTGCTTAGTGAAATAAAGCAGACCGCAAAAGACATGTGTGAAATAAAGCAGACCCCAAAAGACATGTGTGTTCATGTGTGTTCTCTGGTTTGTGACAGCTAATACATAGAGCACAAACAGCCTAATGCATGAATGAAATTCACATCTTTTGAGTAATTAATACAGCTTTTGTCTGTACTCTAACAGAATAATTTTCCTTCTACTTTTTACTAGAAGAATTCACTATACAGTAGAGGATTAAGCCTGTGATTATAAAGTAAATTGAAATTATATTATCAAAAAAAGTAACAGGAAAAAAGTTAAAGAGGCATTGAGGCTTGGGGAAAGCAACAACAGTAGAAAGTATCAACATGTGCTTAAAATTGTATATGTGAAATACATGAAGTCTCTTCTTTATACCAATGTCTAAAATAAAAATAACAAGAAAAGAAGACAGCATTAGATCTTAGAAACACAAACCAAACCAAAACATAAAAGACACAAAGTACATAGACAACAGTGGAATGACACATATTGTGTTTTCACTAATGATTTTTAATAAAACTAGATTAAAATCAACCAATCTGGTTAACAATAGTGAAGTAATCTTCATAGTAAATACTCCAAAGAAGAAATACAAATGGTCAACAAATATCTGATAAAATGCTCAATTTAACTATCCATAAAGGGAATGTAAATGAAAACCAAAATGAAATTATTAGCTCATACCTGTCAGAATGACTACTATCCAAAATACAGAGAGGAACAAATGCTGGCAAGGATGTGGAGAAAAGGGGAACACATGCATTGTGGATGTTAATTTGGGAATTTAAATTAGTGCAACAACCATGGAAAACAGTATGGAGATTTATTTAAAAACTGGAAATATATTTGCCATATGATTCAGCAATTACACTACTGGGTATATATACAAGCCATGATATTATTGTATCAAAGAGATACCTACTCCACCATGCTAAATGCAGTGCTATTTACAATGGCCAAGATATGGAACCACCAAAGGTGTCAATCATCAGATGAACGGATGAAAAAAAAGGTGACATTTATACAAAGTGGAATATTATTCATTCATGAAAAATAACAAAACTGCCATTTGTAACTAGAGGACATTATGTTGAATGAAATGAGCAAGACAGAGAAAGACAAATACCACATGTGTCTCTCACAAGTAAGAGTTAAAACTAATTTCAATTTGAACACAAAATGTTGATTTCTAGACTCTGAAGGAATGAAGTTTAGAAGGATTCTGAGAAAAATAAAGAAATCTTCTATGGTTCACTAACTGTAATAAATATAGGGGAGAGTGGTTGTAAGGTATGTGGGAATTCTTTATAATACTTCACAATTTCTATTTTGTAAATTTAAAACTATTCTGAAATAAAGTGTTAAAAATTAAAAGGAAAAGAAAAAAGTGTTAACATTTTTATAACATACCTCCGTGCACAGGTCCTATATTTGCCTTCATGTTTACCGCAGTTCCCATACCTATCCATTTGAGATTGTATTTCTTCATAGCATTCAAATGGAGCATTTTTTGAACCTGTCAAAGTTGAAAATATACTTGTATTTAAACATATATCTGTTTTTTATTTTCATCAATTTACTCATATGCAATATGTTATCTTTGAAAGTCACTTGTTAACAGTAATAGTATATTTTTATGGTCTATACTGTGACATTTCAGTGCATGTATATAATACTCATCAAGTCAGGGAAATCACCATTTTCCCTTCTCTACATTATTTTCTGATTGGAGTTCCTTCTATTTGCTCATAAAAGATAGAATAGGATATTGTGAACCACAGTCACTTCACTATGCTGTGTAACACAAGAAACTTATTCCTTTGATGTAATTATGATTTGGGATATGTTTCTTTTGACTCTTTCTCCATTATATAACTAGATTTCCCTAGGAAGTTTATAAGGAAAGATAAAGAAATAAAGTGAAAGGCAATGTTCATGGTTATTGCTCTTTATTCTTCACTTTCACAGTCATTTACATCTTAAAAATAATACAGGAGAGGAGAGAGTAATATAGACTAAGCGAAGGCTCTGGACAAGATCGGGAAGAAAAAGAATAGAAAAACTAGATTTATTCTAGATTCTGAGTGAGAACCTGTAAAAGACATGTCTCTAATAAAATCAATACAAAATTTTTTTCAATGAGATATTACTTCTTTGTACCTTCAAGTAGTCTCAACTCAAGGGACCAATATTTTGCTATTTTACTTTCAACACTACGTTCGCTATTTTTATTTCTGTGTTTAAAAAATTAAAAGCAACGCCCTGGTGGCTTAAAAATAATACCTACTTATTATGTCACAAATTCTGTGGACTGGAAGGCCAGCACTAATGGCTTCTTTCCTCTGGGTTTTACTAGGAGGAAATCAAGGTATTGGCTGGAGATGCCATTTCATAAAAAATTATAATCTTCTTCAGGGCTCAATGGTTATTTATAGAATAAAGTTTTGGCTGATTTCAGATTTGAAGCTTTTATTTTCTTGCCAGATGTCTTCCAGGGCTTGTTCTTGGCTTTTAAAAATTCCCTTCAGGATATGGTCATATGACTCTCTCAAATCATGGCAGCTTACTTCTTCCAAGCCAGTACCTTTCTAACATTTCTGACCTCTGGACAGCTCACAGGCTTAAAGAGATGGAGATGCTAACTAACTTGACTTGAAGTTCTTGTCAAATACATGTGTTGGATTATAACAACATGCTCCATAAATATGTATAATTAAAATAAGATGATTAAAATAGCACTCGTATGATTAGTATATGCACACTCAGGATGACATTCCTTCTGATTAACTCCAGGTTTACTGACTATGGCCCTTAATCATATCTTCAAGATTGAACCATGAAGACATAGAAACCAACAATGAAACTATGAACAAATGAAAAACAAGTAATGTGATCAAATAAGCAAGAAAAGGATTCCTGGTAAAGAAAAGTTCAGGACTGGATGGCTTCTCTGCTGAATTTAAAAAAAAAAAACTTTATAAGCAAGACCTAATTCCAAGTCATTTCAATCTGTTCTTTTTTTTAATGAAATAGAACTCTTCTCATCTCCTTCTATAAAGCCAGCATTATCTTGATTCCAAAATCATACAAAGATAGAGCAACAAAAGAAAAGGCCAATTCCCAACATGGACACATAAAAAATTCTCAAAAATACAAGCAAATCCAATCCAACAACACATAAAAATGATTATTCAACATGACTTCCAAGGAAGAAGAGCACACTAGTCTTACAGTCAAGGCTACTCTAAAGCAGTATTAATACATCTTAAGTATAATCTTTGAAACAGTGAAGATGATACACCTGTTACAATGCCTGCCTAAAAACAAAAGCTGAAAACTCTTCAGGAAAATGATGGATTCAACCAATATAATATGCAGCATTCAAGCAATAAGACAAGAAAATCTGAATGTTAGGCAAAAATTTTGTCATTATAAATAATCCCAAAATTATTGTTATAATTTAATCTACAAAGAAAAGGTATATTTAATAAACATATTTCAAGATTTAAAAGAAAACAAGAAAATAACAAATTAAAATTATAAAAATAGACCATGAAACATACAGATTAAACAATTGTGAACTGTGGAACCCACAATATGAACTAATATCCAACAAATTAAAATTTCACAGAATATACATAATGAAGAAAATAGTGCCCATGGAGACATAGCAATAGCAACTTCCAATTACACAAAGGCTATAAAAATAAATAATGCACTCAGTGACTTGTCAATAAGAAGGGTCATCTGTAATGAGGACAATGTTTATCAATGACTTCAATAACATCCTTGGGGTCACTCTTTTCAAAGAAAGCAGACTGACCATATTAATTCTTGTACCTGGTGGGCATGTAGGACATTTCTGTATTTGGTCTGAAAACACTTTCCAGAAGTAGGATGAATTCTCTGGCTCTTGGTGTAAAGCTGTTTCTCTCAAAAGCAACTACAATCGGGGCCATCGCTGTGGTGCAGAAGGTTAAAGCCCTGGCCTAAAGTGCCAACATCCCATATGGATGCTGGTTCTAGTCCCGGCTGCTTCTCTTCTGATCCAGCTTCCTGCTATGGCCTGGGAAAGCAATAGAAGATGGCCCAAGTACTTAGGCTCCTGCACCCAATGTGGGAGACCCAGAAGAAGCTCCTGGCTCCTGGCTTTAGATAGGCGAACCCTGGCCATTGCAGCCAGTTGCGGGAGTGAACCAGGGGATGGAAGACAAGCCTTTGCACAGGCAAAGACTTCTTGGAAAAGACCCTGGAGGCACAGGCAATCAAAGCCAAAATTAACAGTTGGGATTGCATCAAATTGAGAAGTTTCTGTACTGCAAAAGAAACAGCCAGGAAAGTGAAGAGGCAACCAACAGAATGGGAAAAAAATATTTTCAAACTATGCAACCGATAGAGGATTAATAACAAGAATCTACAAAGAAATCAAGAAACTCCACAACAACTAAACAAACAACCCACTTAAGAGATGGGCCAAGGACCTCAATAGACATTTTTCAAAAGAGGAAATCCAAATGGCCAACAGACACATGAGAAAATGTTCAGGATCACTGGCAATGAGGGAAATGAAAATCAAAACCACAATGAGGTTTCACTTCACTCCTGTTAGAATGGCTCACATACAGAAATCTACCAACAACAGATGCTGGCAAGGATTCGTCAAAAAAAGCGACACTAACCTACTGTTTGTGGGAATGCAATCTGGTAAAGCCACTATGAAAATCAGTTTGGAGATTTCTCAGAAGCCTGAAAATAACCCTGCCATACAACCCAGCCATCCCACTCCTTGGAATTTTCCCAAAGGAAATTAAATTGGCAAATAAAAGATCTGCCTCCACCTGAATGTTCACTGCAGCTCAATTCACAATAGCTAAGACCTGGAATCAGCCTAAATGCCCATCAACAGAAGACTGGATAAAGAAATTCTGGGACATGTACTCTATAGAATACTATACAGCAGTAAACAATGAAATCTGTTCAATTACAATTAAATAGAGGAATCTGGAAAACATCATGCTGAGTGAAATGAGCTAGTCTCAAAGGGACAAATATAATATTTTCTCCCTGAACGGTGACAACTAACTGAGCACCTAAAAGGAAACCTGTTGAAGTGAAATGGACACCATGAGAAACAGTGACTTGATCAGCCCTTGTCCTAACTGTAAAGGAACAACTTAATACTTTATTTTTTTAGTATTTTTTGTTCTGCTTAATACCATTGGTTGAACTCTTTAATTAATACACAATTATTCTTAGGCATTTAAATTTAACTGAAAGTGATTCCTGTTAAATATAAGAGTGGGAATAAGAGAGGGAGGAGATGTGCAGTTTGGCACATGCTCAATTGGACTTGCCCCAAATGGTAGAGTAGAAATGTGCCACGGGATTCCAATTCATTCTCTTCAAGGTGGCAGGTACCAATGCCATCTCAGTAGTCAAATGATCAGTTTCAGTTCATAACTGATCATAATGATAGGTCTAAGAGTCAAAGTGATCACATAAACAAGACTAGTGTCTGCTAACACTAACTAATAGAATTAAAATGGAGAAAACAATCCAACACATTCATACGACCTAATGAACTTCACAGTTTCAATGCAATCTCAATCCTAACACCAAGGATATTCTTCTCAGAGCTAGAAAAAAAATCCTAATCGTCATATGGAAACTAAAAAGACACCAAATCGGCCAGTGCCACAGCTCACTAGGCTAGTCCTCCACGTGCAGCCCCAGACACCAGGTCCAGTCCCGGTCGGGGCGCCGGATTCTGTCCCAGTTGCTCCTCTTCCAGTCCAGCTCTCTGCCCTGGCCCGGGAATGCAGTGGAGGAGGGCCCATGTCCTTGGGCCTTGCACCCGCATGGGAGACCAGGAGAAGCACCTGGCTCCAGGCCTCGGATCAGCGTGGTGCACCGGCCACAGCGCACTGGCCACAATGGCCATTGGAGGGTGAACCAACGGAAAAAGGAAGATCTTTTTCTCTGTCTCTCTCTCTCACTGTCCACTCTGCCTGTCAAAAAAAAATAGACACCAAATAGCCAAAATTAAACAATAAAAACAAAGCCGGAGCCAGCACAATAACAGATTTAAACACATATTACAGATCTGTTATAATCAAAATAACCTCATATTGGCACAAAAACAGACATGGGAAACAGCAGAATAGATTAGAAACCCAGAAGTTAATCCATACATCTACAACAAGCTAATCATTGATAGTGAGCTAACACCACTCTTTGGAGAAAGTAAAGTCTCTGCAACAAATGGTGCTGGGAAAATTGGGTCTTTACATCCAGAAATATGAAATTAAATCCTTAACTCACATCCTATACAAAAATTAACCCACAATGGATCATGGCTCTAATCCTAAGACTTAAAACCATCAAGTTATGAGAGGAAAACATAGGGATACAATGCAAGACAGTGGTATAGGCAAAATGTATTGGATAAGACCCCAGAATCACAGGCAATAAAAGGAAACATAGACTAATCTTGTGCATTGCATCAAGAAGTCTCTG